CTCTCTCTCTCTCTCTCTCTCTCTCTCTCTCTCTCTCTCTCTCTCTCAGTATAATGCGCTTCATGGTGTCTAAGAGGAAGTTTAAAGAGAGTCTTCGTCCCTATGATGTAATGGATGTAATCGAACAGTATTCAGCCGGACACTTGGACATGCTCGCCCGCATCAAGAACCTCCAGTCAAGGTACGACCTCTGACCCCTTGAGTTTATATTTTAATTTGTTTCAGCATCTCCTAAATAAACATCAGACTTTGGTCTCAATTTAAAAATGCGAAGCCACATTTACTGAGTTATCAGACCAGTACTTTGTTTAAAGTACACTTCACCTTCACAGTTTTAATAACTTCAGGCTGTAAGTTTATTAGTTCACTCTGTGAGAGGTCACTGTATGAGGTCATGGTCCTGAAGCTCATAGTTTTTCTCCTGATTGACAGGGTGGATCAGATAGTTGGTAGAGGGACACCAGTCGCAGACAAGGACCGTCCCAAAACGGCCAATGAGGAACTTCCCGAGGATCCAAGCATGATGGGACGGCTGGGGAAGGTGGAGAAGCAGGTAACCAAAGGATGCGCAAAGATGCGAATGAGCTTAAAGCTATAATCTGGTACGGTGCATCAAATGGTGACATTTATGTTTTAAACTGTACATGGTCCCTTTTAAATAAAATGAATAAATAAACCAGTCTGTCGCCAAAAAAGACGTTTCAGCAGAGCCAGCGCTGAAAGTCCTCGAGCTCTGAACCTGTTGGTTTAATTTTGATGCAGCTTCAGTCTAGAATCTGTTTCTGTCCTCCGCTGGTCTCGTCCCTCAGGTTCTGTCCATGGAGAGAAAATTGGACTTCCTGGTTAACATCTACATCCAGCGAATGGGAATCCCTCAGGCCGAGACCGACGCCTACTTTGGATCCAAGGAGCCCGACCCGGCCCCGCCCTACCAGAGTCCAGTGGATCAACTGGAGAAGAGCCAGTCCATCTCCAAGATCCCACAGTCAGTGTCTACTATTACTGGGAAACCACAGAACCAGTACACACCCGGACCTGTTGTTAATACCATATTGTTTAAATGTTAACTTGTGGACATTTTCCCTTGTTAATGTTTTTGTTTACATGTTGTTAAGGGTGTTGCCTGGCGAGCACACACAGAAGAGCTGTTTCGTGACAAAGATGGTTCGCTCCAGCAGCTCCACCGGATCCAGGAACTGCAACGCCCCCACCTGCCCACCCTCCACCTCCTGGCAGCCAATCAGCTCCCAGCAGGTCCCGCCGCCTCCCCACCTCAGCCACGGCAACATTCCGAGTCCAGTTGGGGATGGGTCACTGGTTCGACTCCCACCTCCTCCGGCCGGAGAGAGACACGGCGGGAACCGATCGCACCGGCACAGCACCGGAGACCGAGGGGGGGTAGAGAGACCGGAGAGAGGAGGAGGAGGAGAGGAGGTGAAGCCGGACAGTGACGCCTCCATACCATCCGTGGACCACGAGGAGCTGGAGCGCTCCTTTAGTGGATTCTCCATCTCCCAGTCCAGAGAGAACCTGGACTTCATCAACAATAGCTTCTACCCCTCCGCCAACCTGGGAGACCACCGAAAAGGAGGAGGAGGTGGAGGTGGAGAAGGAGGAGGCGCCACCAGCTGTGCCACCGTCCGGCCACACATCGCAGAGGGGGAGTCGGACTCTGACTCGGAGCTCTGCGCTCCCTCGCCACACTCGGACCGGGCCTGGACCAGAACAAAGTAGAGCCCGAGGTAAACCAGAGCAGAACCAGCAGAACAATTGAAAGTGATACTCAAAATTACAACTATAAAACTGTGAAGTGAAACTTGTACAAGTTAACTTTAAAAACACCAGCTGGAGTCTCAGAGTGAAGCATCATGGGAACTGTGAACGGCCCAAATCACCGGGTGTCAGGCTGGTTTTATTCATGTGAATGTTTTAACCTGTACAGCAAATGTTTGTTCTCACTATCACTGATGGGTTCAGTGCATGGACACGGTCGCACCTAATTGGTTCACTGCGTGGACACGCTTGCACCTGATTGGTTACTTGTTTCCATATTTAATACACCTGTAAATTTATTTTGTCTCCATTTCTTGTCCAGAGCTCAAACACAGACTCACCGTTCGTCTTTGGATATTCTTCAGGTGAAGATATTCAGTCCATTTATAGTTAATTTATTTTGATTATTTACAGTTTCTGTCCGTGTACTGTCAATAATTACACAATGCTGACATTAACTTCAAGTTAATATAATATTTAATACATCGATTCAAAGGCTACATCAAATGTCATGAATTCCACTGAAGTCAGAAGCTGAGATGGTTACGAGTTAAAACATTTCCACCTCCACCGCGCTGCCCTCTCGAGTCTCTCCACTGACTTTGTATGCAAGACGTTCTATTACAGAATAACTTTTTTTCTCTTAATTTGTTTATTTTCTTGGAATGTTGTCCCAACGTAAACAAATATATATTTGACAAAGACAAAAAGAATGAAAGAGACTTTTTTTTTTTTTTTTTTAATAGAATAAATAAAATATATATAACATATATATACATACATACATACATTTACAATTACAAAGAGTGCTTACTGAGCAAACCAAGCACAATCTAATCCAATACAGGTTATTGCTGGCCAATCATAGCCAAAATATGTACTAAGAGGGAACCGCAGAATATTTTTTAATATGCCAAAAAAGGCAGATGTATCAGTCTGGACCCCACAAGATAAAGTAGTTATCTATCAGCTCTCAGCCTGAAGTAACACTCGGTTACTAAGGGTGCGTTCGTAAATAGTCACTCAGAGTGTCTTGCTCTTGCACAAGAGGCGCCATTTTGAATTATACGCGTATAACGTTACCGTTTCTTTGAACAGCAGCGCTCTGATTTTAGTGTAGAGCGTCAGATTGGATTTAGGAACGCTTTAAGTAGAAAGCTAGTTAGCTTGACATGCTAATGTAGGTAGCATACATTAACATTCTATTCTTGACACTTTTGCTGTTGTGCTTTTATCACCTTTCTAAAAACACAACGATCAAAAGACCTGCTGCCCAGTTATAGTTGCGGTATATATACTTCCTGTCTCATTATTATTGTGTGGACCGATGAAAGCTGATTGGCTTCTATTTGCATGATGTATTTTCTTTTGCTCACAGTAGATATCCATGTTTAACATTGCAAAAATAATTCTGACCAATCAGAAATGGATAATTAGTCCCACATGATGTCATAAACTCATTGGTATGCATTTGTAATCTAATCATCCTCGACTGGTAATTACATTATGATTCATATTCATTAATAAATCCCAACAGATAATTAACCCAGCGACAGGAATGTAAATGATTAAATACTGAAGAGTTTTTGATCACCGAGACGAAAACATCCGTCTCACTTAGGACAAACCTACCAAAATAAGAGTCTTTTACTGCCTTAGCTCGTTGCCTCCCTCTGGAAAAAGAGTTCAACATTTCTGACCAGCAGTAGATCTAAAAACCCTAAAAGGTTTGTCCTGAGGGGTGGCACGAGAATCATTGTTTAAACACCTGATGATATTTGTTTCCATGGTCATCGTCGCTCAGTTCAGATTACATTTCTTGTTTTGGAGAAAAAGAAGTTCGACCAGATCTTGTTTCACACAAACTGTATCTTTGTACAGAACGTCGCCTGTTTGATCGTATTTCAATATTAATTAAAAACATTTACCCACAACAAATCTGATGAACTGTCTTTAGTCTTTTGTTACCCTTCAACAGAGTGAATCAGTCTCACTGACTAATGACAATGACTTTTCGACATACTATGAAGTGATCTTTTTTCAACATATATTATTACTTTTTTAAAAACGTACAATACTATGGCTTTGTGACTTCTTTCCAACATACTATTCTGTGATTTATTTTCGGACATAATATGGCTTTATTATGTGGTATACTATGACTTTTTAAAAAACATATTTCAACACTTTTTTTTTTTTTATACATACAATACTATTGCTTTCAGCATACTATAATACTTTTTTTTTTTTTTCAACATACTATTCTGTGATTTATTTTTGGACATAATATATACTATATCTTTCTTTTTTATAACTTTCAACATACTACACTGACTTTTTACATACTACACTGGCTTTTTTGTGTTTTACATACTATACTATGGCTTCATTATCACTTTTTTCCGACAGTATGAAATTACTTTTATTATACTGTGACTTCATTAAACTTATTATTTTTTTTTTTTTTTACATACTATACTATGACTGTTTTACTACTTTTTCAAAAAACTATATTACTTTATTAACAAACTATTAACTTTTTATGACGTTCAACATTTTGGACTTTTTTCCACAATAAACTGACTTTTCGAAGGACTTTTTTCATAATACAACACAATGACTGACATACTATACTATGGCTTTATTATCACTTTTTCGACATGCTAGGCCTTTTTTAATGACTTATGTCATACTATACCATAACCTTCTTTTTGAAATACTTTGACTTTATTATACATTTAATGAAATACTATTCTACAACTTTTTCAACATATTATATTTCGACTACATCAATTTTTTTATGACGTATGATTTTTTCGACAAAGTAAGTTTGACCAGATATTTTAGGACATACTATAATATTACTTTATGACTTTTTCGACATGCTATACTATGAAGTTTTCGACATGCTATAACTATGAAGTTTTCGA